CTAGGTCATTAGTGCTTATTGACATCACTCAGCGGCCCCGTATTCTCTTTGATTGACTCAAAGGCTACCGATACTCACAAATATGTCACACTAATATAGCTATTGCTTCAACCGTGTCGGTATACCTCGCACAGTTTCCACAATGTATTGCTATCTATGAATGTTTCCCAAATCCGGGTGGAGGATTTCAACCCCAAACAATAGAACAAAGATAAAGCAATCAAATAAAACAATAGAAGCAAATATGATGAACTAATCCTAAGGTATACCCCACTTATTAGATAATCCCCAGCAGAGTCGCCAGTTCTGTGATCGGTGGGAATGAGAACTGACTGTTTTTGGAATGTTGGTTCGCGTTTGCATTTGTTTTCGCAAAATGTCGCGGTATGCAAGAGTCGCCACCGTCTTTTATTTTATCCAACAAGGAAAGGACAAAAGCACAGAAAAAATCCTTTTCGAGATGTTTCTCGGGTTCGGGAGGTAGATTATAGAAAGGGAAGGTGTTAGCACCCTTTCTATCCGTGGTTATCCACGGGCTCTTAGGTACTTGCTCACCGTGTTTTCAAAAGTTTGCTTTTCTTTGTGTTTGTGGGTTTTGAAAAGAGTTTGTTGTTTTGAAGAGAATGTAAGTGCGAAAAGTTTTGTTTTGTTTTTTAAAAGGAGCAAGTACTTAAGAACCTCCACCTACTCAAAAAGGAATTAAACTGTGCAAATGTCCTTTAGACAGTGCTATCCCACTATTGAGGAGTAGGTAGCACCGTCGTTGGAGTTTTCGGGTCAATTCGATTTAAGGGACGTGTGGTCACTAAAGCAACGTTAGGACGCCTTAGTGGTAATCCTAATGTCTTAGATCATTTTTCCGAGGCAACTGTTTCGAGGCAACTTATGATCTTTGGACAAAAGGACGACCTCTAAAACATCCTATACTTAATGACCACGTTCGAGGCAACCAAGTGAGGTGTACCCTAGGAGTGGCATGTACAAGTGTGTCAATTTTCAGTTATATTATCTTTGCATGTCATGGTGAGCTACTGTTGATTTTAAGTTAAGAGTTAATCTTGTCATGCATAGCCTAGTTAGCATACATCTAAACAGTTAATATATGTACAGGAATTTAAAGTGCGAGAATTGTAAATCCTACGCTATTACAAGGCTTCGGGGAGGGGGATTATTTACATGTCCAAAATTGGGGGAATAAAGCAGTAAAGTGTAAAAGTCTTAGTTAAGCTATTACAAACCAGTAGACAGTTATAATAAAATAAACGCGCGCGAATCCGAAAATAACCTCTAAAAATCCTAAGAATAAAATCTTTTTGTTGTTTTATTTTATTTTGGGAAAATGATCTAAATCTACTTAATTTTAGTTTTGGAAAAATGTTAAAATAATTAAATGATTAATTAACAAAGTTAATTTAATAGGAAAAAAAAACTAGCCTAATGTTTTTGTGATTTTTTAATATTTTAATGTTAATTAAAAAGATAAAAAGATGTCAATGAAAACAAAAATAAAATACAAGGGGGATCCTTCGATCCAGGGAAAAAAGGAGCTTAGAGCCAAGGAGGGAATTGAAGCTTCGATCCAAACAGGGTCATGGTTCTTTCGATTGGGCCAGGAAGTGGGCATGAACAACCTTCGATCCAGGGAAGGGGATTTCCCTTCGATCCTGGGAAAAATGACTTCTTCGATCCAGAGAAGGTGTTTCCTTCGATCTGGGATGCTATACCTGCAAAAGTATGTTAGCAAAATAAAACTCAGGGCCTGGTATCGAACCCCAGGCCCTTCGATCCTGCGTGCGCTGAGTCTTTTCAGGCTAAATCTGCAGCAAATGTTCGCAAACGAAGAACATGACCTGGGGCCAAACCCAATCCCTTGAATTCTGTCTAGGATGGCAAATCGAATGGGATGGAAAATATGGAGGTGTTATGCCAAATGAAAAGTTTTGACAATTTACCCTCTCTTACCAGCAGATTGAATCTTCGATTTGGGTACTGGCGGGATGGGAGCACTTTCAATCTGAGGGCTTCTGGACGTGGGCACCTTCGATCTGAAGGACTGCTTTGGCTTGGAAAATTCTGACAATGTTGACAACCTGTGGTGGGCAGCGTATCTCCAAATTCTCCCTGTTTCTTTTTCTCCTTTTTTCGTTCTGTCTCTGTCTGTTTTTTCTGGCCTGTTCCTCCTCTGTAATGTGCCATTGGCCCTTGTATTTATAGGAGTGTGGGGGTCTAGTAACGGCAAGAGACAGCCAATTAAATAGGCCATTAAAGCCATGAGACAAGAATCAGACACATTAAAATATTTCCTTTTTTGAAATATTCGTGTCTCTTGAATCTGGAATGAACCTGGACGCTTTTGATTTTCAAATGCCTTCAGGCCCTGCTCTTCGATTGGTCTTGATTTACCTCCTTCGAATGGACTTCTTATGTACCCTTCAAATGGGCCTTCTGAATGCTTCTTCGAATGGTCTTGAGTTAAACAGAATCACTCTGGTCGAATCAGCTCTTTGTGCAGTTAGAAACAGAAAAGGCAAGAATCTGGCCTTTAACTCAGGAATTAAATCCACAATCAACATTTAATTATTTCTATATTTGCAAGGGACACATGCCATTTTCTCATGTTCAGTGTACCTGGACATGTTTTCTGAGTATCCTTTGATGGCCTCTTCCAAATAGCCTGGAATGAGTTCTTCGAATGGCCCTTGTCCAAATATCAATCGAAGGATTCCAATCGAAAGGCTTTGTTAACAGGCCAATCGAAAGGTGCTGTTCATGCTAATCGAAGGACATGGTTAACATGCCTGTCGAAACTGCCTTGACATAATTCCAATCGAAGTGCTTGTCCATAATGCCAATCGAAAGGCTCATTCAGAATACCAATCGAAGGGTCTTTCAGAATTCCAATCGAAGTGCTTGTCCATAATGCCAATCGAAAGGCTCCTTCAGAACACCAATCGAAGTGCCTTTCAGAATTGCCAACCGAAGGGTCTTTCAGAATGCCAATCAAAATGCTTGTCCATAATGCCAATCGAAAGGCTCCTTCAGAACACCAATCGAAGGGCCTTTCAGAATGCCAATCGAAAGGTCTTTCAGAATGCCAATCGAAAGGTACTTAAAGCACCACTCAAAAATTTTCTTTTTCCTTAGGCAAGGGTTTCTGGTCAACCATGCAAGGGGAAGACTTTGGAAAACATGAGAGGGCAAATTTTGGGGTACAACAGGGGGGTACCTGCAAGACACTCCGATGCTAAAATGAGTGACAAAATGAGTAGGCAAAAAGTGTATAGATGCATAAGAGATGAATACCTGACCCTCTAGGAACAAAGGGTATTTATAGCCCCCAGCGCTGGGCCAAGGTCCCCTCATTGGGCCGACCAGAACTGACCCAATAAAGGAACTGTCAGGTTCTACGTGTGTAGTGGGGCCCCGCACGTGGCCCCCTTCCTGGTGATGCTCTGCGAAGAATGAGGAGGGACGAAGACGCGGTCTTTCCGGAGTTTAGATGATTCGATAACGGTCAGAGAGGACAGAATTTGCCCTACGGGGAGAGTGCTCGAGCAGGACTCGAGCTGGAATTCCCTTGGTCGGGGACACCATGTGCGCGGGCAATGGCAGGCGTGGCTATAGTCTGTGGTCGGGCACGTCGGTGGCGATCCGCGGGTGCGTATTCCTCGAGGAGTTTACTTGGGTTAGGCTTTTATCCGTGCTTTGGGCCAGGGCGGGCCCAGTCCAGAACAATTCCGTTTAAGGGTGTGAGCACTCAGTTTAATTTCATTACCTCATTCTTTGTTGTTGGTGCTCTCATCACGATGTCCGTTTCACACTTATCTGAGTTTATTTCACTTTTATGCCTCTAAGAATTTTCCATATCAAACTCTGAAGATAGATTTTTCTGGATTGAACCTCATATTGTATTGTCGAACTCATTGAAATACGCTTGCCAGGTGTTTGTCGTGTAGTCCTTCTTCGTTGGATTTGACCATCATGTCGTCCATGTTGTATTGGTAAAAAAATACAGGTGTGTGTGCTCCTTCTACAATAGCAAGGGAGGATGATCTTGGAGTTGATAGATCTATGGTGACTTTAATAGCTGAATAAGATGTCAATTATGAAATACGATACAATTGTTTTGTTTGGGAACTAAAACTAGGTCGGAGATTAGATGAAAGGAAGTTTTGATGCGGTGGAACGAGCCTCTAGTACGAAGGAACATGAGTGAACATGTAAGATTAACACTCAAATATCCAAGTTAGTGAATGAGTAAGAAAGTAGTTTGATAATGTCAATGAGATAATGTACTTGGAATGGCCGTATGATGCTTTATATAGCATAAACGACTAAAACTATCTCCACGTGATTTGATGCCTTGTACGGGGTTTATCCGATTAAATATGACAACAAATAATCATTTGAAAGAGAGGATTGAGTACGAATACAAATGTGGACACCCTAAATCGTCACATCATGATACCTTCTTTCTTGAACTAAGTCTCATCATAATTGAATTTTACTATCCTTGAACCTATGGACATTTCAAAACAATTTCTTTTCATCACTTCTCACCAACTTTATTCACTTTTAATTTATGTGAAATAAAAAATATGCTCAATTTTAATATAAAATAATACAAATAATAAAATCTTATATCATTCTAGTCATTTTTATTTTGGTCAATTTCCTTTGACATTTACAACTTACTTTGAAACCCAATTCACCTAAAATAGTTAATAGAAAAAAATGACTAAACTTATAAAATGCAATTTTGATTTTGGTGATTAACAAAATTGTCTATTCCCTAAAAAGAAATTCATTCAAATCCATGACAATTGAATTCACCAAAAATATTAAAGTCTAACTAGAAAAAGGAATTCATAAAAAAAAGAAAAAGAGTTGCATTTTAATTGAAAAATAAAATAAATACACCGACGAACCAACCTATCACCGATTCCTTCCGTTCTCTTTCCATTTTCATCGCCATCACAGATACATCAAATTGAAATCAAATGGTCGTTTTCTCTGTAAAACCCTTATTCACCATCTTTGTCGTTTCACTCACTCTCCTTGTCGTTTTCACATTGCTCTCGCCTCGTTACCCCTTTTCCCAAAATTGGATTTCTGGAGAACCCTCACTGTATGCTTCACCATTTCGATTTCTCTTTCTCTTTCTAGCTTTAATTTGCCAAAAAGATTTGAACTTTGAAACTGGGTATTTTTCAATATGAATATTTAGCATCTTATATATTAACAATTTTATTTATTTGTTAATTTATTCATATTATTGATTTTTGTTACTGATCTTTGAATTGGTGAGGTTGCAGAGGGGAAGTAGATATATGGAGTGTTCGGAGACTCATGGAATGGAGACCTTGCAAATGGTGGCTACAAGGACATCAAACAGGTACTTTTTGCTTAATCAAATCATATTTGTTCTCTATGTAGCACTGTTATCTCTGAAATAAGGTGGTTCTCGTGTCCGTGCTTTATAGTATTTCGTTCTATTATTAACTTTAAGCTTTGGAGATTAAAAATTTGTTTATTTTTTTTATGAACTTTTGTTATCACTAGCTTGATTTTTTTATTTAGGATATTATAACTGTTTGTAGTAGTGATTAAGCTGTAAAATTACTTGGAATGATTTTACTTGTGTTTAAATGATTGAAATTTTGGGTACATGCTTTAGCTTTACATTGATCTATGAAAGCACTGACACAAACACAAACAATGGTTAAGATAGTGATACATTGACACCCAATAATAATTTGAGAAAATAGATGTGTTTGAATGTGACCATATGTGTCGGTGTTAAACACTAATATGTGTCTGACACTGGAAATCAGTGTAGTCAAGATCGAGTGTTGGATCGTAAGATCTTATGTGCTAAAGATGTCTGAGAGTGCTACGATTGGAGAAAGATTGGTTTCGTCGCTGGCGTGGTCAAAATCCAGCTTTTTGAAAAAAAATAGTAAAGGGTTTTTTTGTGCGCTTGTATTATAATTTTTCGTGTTTGTGAGTGTATATATGTATGAAATTACCATTTTTCCTTCCGTAGGATCTTATGTGCCGTGCTAACAATCCAAGTTTTAGTGTTTTACAATCTTTCACAAACCAACCGATCATACTTAAGATCTCGTGCTTGACTATATTGCCGGGCACACCTTCAATACAAAGTATCAAAAGTCAACCAAGGAAGTTAATCTTGCAAATACGTTTTTAAATGGATTGGGTCAAATTTGTTGGTTGATTGAGACGTGCGATGAGAGTTGATAATTGGATTTTTTTATTTTCTGAATCAACCTTAATTGGCTTTCATTGCAGACATTGCTTTCGTTTTTTTTTATTCTTGAAATGGTGCAGCTCTACCATTGGAAACCAATGGATATATCAGAGTGGATTGCTACGGAGGCCTCAACCAGATGCGAAGAGATGTGAGAGCTTTGGAAAAAACTCTTGAATTTCAACTCTAGACCCGGAGATTATGTTCAGTATTCTTTTGCTTGTTTCTTGAATTTGAGTGTTGTGATTGCATTTCTGTGACGGTGTGGGAATTGCTCGGCTGTTAAACGCAACGCTTGTCCTGCCAAAGTTTGAAGTGGCTTCATATTGGAATGAAACAAGGTAACTTTTCTTTCTATTTCTGTGGAATTGTTATTATTTGCAGTATTATCGGCAATGACAGCGCCATGGCGGAGCTTTGGCTTTTCGCCCTGCTATCCTCAATCGATAACACTGCATTTGATCCATGTTGTTCTAAGTTACAATGATACATTAATCGTTATCTTCTTGAAATGACTTCTGCACTCTTTGTTCTATTACAGTGGTTTCGCGGATGTATACGATCTAGACTACTTCATTCAACAAATGAACGGCTTTGTCAAAGTCGTCAAAACGTTACCACCGGATATTGCAACAAAAGAACCAGTTCAAGTGGACTGTAGCAAAAGGAAAGGCCAATTCGACTATGTTGAAAGCGTTCTCCCATCTCTATTAAAAGGAAAGGAAAACTGATTTTTTGTTTTGACAGTATTCCCCTAACTAATGGGCCAGAATACGGCCCAAGGAAGAGCCGTGAGCAAGGCCCATTGTTATGACATTTTTCCTACAACACATTAGAAAATTACAGAAAAGAACATTGATTTGGGGATCATTTCATCGATTAGGTTTTCAGTTCTCTTCGTTGTCTTGTCTCACAGCCACACACACAAACACATCAATGGAAGTAATCACAGAAGGAGTGAACAACATCAATATCTCTGATTCTACTAAGAAGAATCGTATTCACGTCTCCAACTCCAAAAAACCCATCTTCTTCTTCGTTAATCTGGCCAAGGTAATCCGATAAACGATTTATTTATTTTTGTTTTTAGTTGATTCAGACACGTTAGGTTTTATTGAATTGTTGTTTTTTTTGTTTTGTTTTGTTTTGCAGAGTTATATGAAGCAGTATAATGAGGTTGAGCTTTCAGCACTAGGATCGGGTATCAAATCTTGAAACTGGATCTCATTCATTAATGTTTTGCCATTTTTTGATTTGGACTTCGATTCTTTTTAATTGGTTTGGGTTTTGAGGTATTTATTGCTTTTATCACTTTAACTATGCGAGATTAAGAATGCGTACACAGAAACTACATTGATTTGTAGATGTTTCTCTCAGAAGCACAATGTTACACAAACTACCTAATCTTGTAGGCAACCTCTGTATGTTTTAACTCTTAAGGCTTCCTCAGGTTGAATTGCTGTTTATTGATAAGCTATTCCTAAATGTTGTCAATTGCAGTAAATAGCGGTCTGTTCAAATTCCGCTATGCTACAATAGTTGATCGTGGAACTTCGAATTCTGCTATGCTATAGCCTCTATTTGACTGCATTGGTTCTCAGGTCTTTAGAGAGTTGTTTAGGTTAGTTTGGCTACTTCTGTGACCCTTTCTACCCTGAGCATGGGCAGAGAAAACTAGATGTACTTCAGTTAGTTGCGGTCTAGCACGTTTCTCAAAATTAAATGTGTATTATGCTAGTGTCAACGGAATCATATGTAAAGAGAAATTGATATTTGAGGATAAAGGAATTTAAATAGGACTTGAAAGTAAATAGATTTGTTGTTTGATTTCGTTCGTCAAATTTGAATACAGTGTTGTCAATGGCGGCAAGCCTAATTTTTGCCATATAAAGACGCCATTCTGGCCTACGGAGCCGCCATTTGTGGGGTTATCATCCCTTCACAACTTGCCATTTGCGAGGGTGTTAACTGATTACACATTTCACTTCAGAAGGTTTCATAAGTTGGAAACTAATTAAGTCGGGCTTCAGTATCGTCCTGATTTATATATTGAATCTTTTCTCGGTCATCCTTTCTTTTTTCTGATTTCATTTTTTACATTATTATTGTTACAGCTATTGCCTCAGTGGTTTCTGTTGCAGAAATTCTGAAACACAACGGACTTGCTGTGGAAAAAAGTGAGATACTATGTCTTTTTTTCGCAAACTGTCTCCATCTCACCTTTCTCTTTCCGGTACTCGAATAATGGAACAATTAAATTTGTTTGCTGAATCTCTTTATGCAGAAATCAGAACATCAACAGTTGTCCTAGGTAATCCCAGAGGTAGAGCTGTGCAAAAGGCCAGGGTAAGGGTGATCATAAATTTTTCTCTTCAATCTTCAACGATCCTGCTTTATGAGTTTCTTATTAAGCCTCATTTGTTGTGTTTTTAGATTGAAATAGTACTCGAGAAGACTGCAAACTTTGACGAGTTGATGGCTGCTGCTGCAGCAGCTGCTGGAAATGGTGAAAATGGAGATAATGAAGAGCACACCACTGCTGCTCCTGCAGCAGCTGCTGAAAATGGTGAAAATGGAGATAATGAAGAGCACGCTGCAGCTGCTGCTGCGGCAACTGCTGGAAATGGTGAAAATGGAGATAATGAAGAGCATGCCGCGGCAGCTGCTGAAAATGGTAAAAATGGAGATAATGAAGAGCACGGCTCGGCAGCTGCTAAAAATGGAGACAATGAAGAGCAGGCCGCATGAAGTTCACCCTTATAACCTGTGTTGGGTTAAGTTATGTCCTCTTGAATGAATTGTTTGATTGTTGTTAGTGGATGGCAGACAGAAATATAATAGTATGCTAGACTGATACGTTACCAATAAGTTACAAGGCTATGCTCTTGTCACTGCGCTAACCCCTCATGCGTATATTTTACAAATTGAGGTAGCAAATAATAGTCATGGTGTGAATATATGATATTTAACCTGCTTGTTACACTGTTTCACAACTTTATATGTTTTCGAAAGTGTCTATTTAGATCACACAAGTGTAGTGGTTTGGTTTAGATACATAAATCCAAATTGATGTTAGAGGATGGAGAAAGCAGTGTTAATGGTGGATGGCAGTCTATAATGGTGAGCCAAAAATCCTGCCATACCAGGCGCTTTGCAGCGCTGTTATAGCGGATTATGGCAGAAAAATCTGCAATATCGGCCAATATTTATCATTGCTGCAAGCTCAAAATCCGCCATGGATATCTGCCAGCGCTGCCATGGTTGATATTTGATAACAGTGGGAGAAAGTGTTATGGCGGATATTTGACAACACTGGGAGAATGTGGGACTATGGAGCTTATGGGGTTGGTGTGGGACTATGCTAATCCACCAATGTGCCACGGTTCAATCACAAAATAGAGAGTGAAGATATTGAGCAAGAAAGCATGAGAATACCTTCACAAGTGGCCTAAAGAAGGTTGGACAAAGGCATATCTCAAAGAAAATTCCCACTTACAACAATTGTGAAGTATTAAACTGCAAAGAGCCTAAATTAAAAATGGATGCTTAATTTAAATATGGCTAAAAATGTTAGATGCCATTGAATGAGAACAATGAGTTACAAAATGTTAAGTTTGCTAGTAGAGTCAGACCTATTTGGACAAGTTGAAAATTCATAACAATATATGGATGTTGTATTAGACATGTCCTTCTCGAGGCTGCTACCCCTCAAACTAAATCTAGCACCCCACATTTTTCTTAATTCTCAAAATGCCCATGAATAAATTTGGGGTGAAAAAAAAAAAAATGAAATTTTGAGTAGATTTGCGAAATCTTCGGTTATTCATTTTTAAATTTTCAGTATAATTAAAAAAAAATTATATTATTTTTATACTACTAGAAATTTCGAAATACAATGAAATTTCTTACTATTGAAAATTTCAAAAAAATCTGACATTTTCTTGAAATTTCTGGTAATGTAAAATTTAGGAGCAAAAGAATAATAGCACTATCATTGAGGGGTGTCAGTTATAAGTGTGAGAGTGACAAGTTAAATCTCCGTCCTTCTCGTTTAAGGTATCAAGTCCAATATTACAGTGTAAAAGTGAATGTAGATCTGGGTGCATGCAGGTTTGAGTAGTTGGGTAGTTGACTAGTAATAACTTTGAGCAAAAATAATTATTTTTCAATGATTTTTGCTTGCAAATATATACAATATTATACTGATGTTAATTGTGATGCATTTATTGGAAAGTGTTTGTAACTTAATATTTTTTGCCCCTATCTTGATTGGTAAGACGAGACATGCGATGAAAGTTTCATACTCAACGTGATTATTGGTAGTGGAGAATTCAAAACATAGGGATACTTCACTCACCAACTCTACTTCATTTTCTAATATGAGTTTGGCCCCTCTCCCATGCTAATAATAATAATAATAATAATAATAACAATAATAATAATAATAATAATAATAATAATAATAATAATAATAACAATAACAATAATAATAATAATAATAATAATAATAATAATAATAATAATAATAATAATAATAATAATAAACTATCTTTTAATTCAATTTAAAAATTTAAGAGTAATTAATTAAATAATAATAATAAAATATATCATCTTTTCAATATAGGCTGAAAATAGTTTTTTTATCACTTAGCCCTAATAATAATAATATATAAGGAGCGAATGTACCATTTATTTGAATCATAACAACGTCTCGTACCTAAACAAGAAGACGCTGCTGCTCAACCATTCCAAACAGGAAGACGCTGCTGCTCACAGGTTTGAATATAAAGATTCTTATCTTTTAGATTGTTCTACATAAAGAATGGTGGTTTCTTTAAGATGACTCGAACATTTCAGTGTATTAAATTTTTTTGAGTAGGTTGTTATATTTTTCTTGGTGACAGTAAAGTATGTGGGGTAGTAGTGATTATGTATAGAAGCTGATTTGAATCTATAAAAGAATGATGCATCATAAACTTGAGATGATTTGGGAGCGCGTTTTGATTTATTTTTCGTGTTAACAGTCAATAATCATTCATGGATAAACTGGTCGAGTCAGTTAGTTAAAAACAACCTGTAAAATGTGAGGTAAGAAGGGAACAAGAGAAAAGGAATAGAATGTGTCAGAACTTCACATGGCCATAGCAGGCGAAATGGAAACAAAAGCGAACAACATTTTCTTCCTTTCTTTTTTTCTTTTCTTTATTATTCTACTTTGACGCTTTTAATTCACGAGGAGCGGGTTTCGTCTTCTCGAAGAAAAACAAATGAAGTTATAATTAACTCCTGCGTTTGATCTGGTGAAACATATGAAGCTACAAAAATCAGTTTTCACACCTCATCAAATATATACAGAAACATGCATTGAACAAGAAAGAGAATGTGAGAGTGGGTTATGTTTATATTATTTACTTAACTGGTATGTTTTCTTTTGGTGTTTCAGGACACTATGGACCCACTACCTCCCTGGAGGAATATTAACATGAATAATACGGATTGGTGGAGGTCTTTCGACATCCACAATGAGTTGGAAGCCACAAATTATCTCAATCAGCTTTCAGAAGGTGTGTTGATTGACGTTTTGACAAAGGTAGAAACTAAACAAGCAATATATGTTTGCTCTCATGTGCTACACCAAAGACACGTGAACACTTGGAAGCGGGTAAACAGTCTATGTTTTAACAGTAACTCTCATCAAAATCTGAATGATTTTGATGAGTATGTACATCGT